TGCTTTATTATCAACAAATGATAATATAATGACATTTTTTTTCCATACTCAATAGGGAGCATCAGCAAGCACTCACCAGCCAATACCAAGAAAACCTCCAACTTGTGGATATTGTAAGCAGCCTGGTCACACCAGGACAACATGCACTGCTAGATATTTTGTTGATGAAAATGTAAGCTTATTGAGTGGTAATTGCTTAGGATCTATAATTTCCTATTAATAGTGCTATATTGCTAATTATATGTGTCTATTCATGTTGCTGTTTTTTTATCCTGCAGTCTGGTCAATCTGATGGACTAGGAAAAAAGAAGAAGCACAGATTTGGTGAATACATTAATTCACCAAAATTGAACCCTATGAGTTTAAGCTTAACATTCAACTAAGAGTGTGAATTGTGTTGATCATTTATTTTCTAATACTAGAATTTAATTTATGCAGCAAGGTTTGCAAGGGAAGACTGCTATGAGACATACCGATCCTAGCCAATTTCATAAGGCACAGCCACCTCAGAAATCAGCCAAGAAGAAGGGATCAAGTCAAGCTTGAGGAATGGTTCTTTTTTTTTTTTTTTTTGGTTTGATGCATGGGAGTAAAGAACTTTGGTTTAAGGTTGCAAAAGGTGTTTTCTGTAGATAATATGTAAATGCAGTAAATGCATGGAAACAAAGTGGCTCACATGCTCTTGTATCTACTTTGGTAGGATTTGTATTTGGCAAGAATATGTAGTATTTTTTGATTTTGGATTTTTGGAGTATAGGATGAAATTCTAGGAAAATGGTGGATATCTTTGTCTCTTGACAGCTTTTGTGCAATCCTAAGAAGATAATTGTGTAAATGTAACCTTTTTGGCTTATATTTCCTTATTTTTGTACCTTTTATGGTTGTTCATATTGTTAATATTAATAGCACAAATAGCTATTTTCATTTGATCAATATTACAAAAATGAGGTAACAATTCTGGAGAAGTTAATTTATATTCATTATATCCAAAATAAATTACAAAGTTTGGGAAGAAATGAGGCCCCATATTAGAATTATTGGGGGCAGTATCTACAAACCTTCAACACTACCATTCAAGACAACCACATTGCCCACCAAAAAACAGATAATGCCCAAAAAACAGATAATGCCCAAAAAACAAAACTATCCCCATTTGCCTAGTTTCTTAATTTCCAAGCCTTTTGAAACCCCTGTTCCCATCAACAAGTAGAACCCAACTCCTAAACAAAAAAAAAGCAAGTAGAATAGCAAGGAAAACAGCCACGACCAAAGATATTTGACCACATTTCTTCCATTTCTCTAGCTTCGCAGCATACACCATTGTCATTATTGCCAACATCTGCAAATCATTAACTTTCTTCTCCAATGCCTCAATCTGTTGCTCTCATTTTTCTTCATAACGCTTCAAAACATTCCTAAGAGCTTTGATCCTTTCCCTTGCATCATCCAAATCAGTTTCCAATTCTGTCTTATTATTGTGCAGCCACGAGATAACCTCCTTAGCCCTAAAAGAGAAATCTTGATCATACCACACAAAATACTTACACTGTCGCTTTTTATTCTGCAAATTTCCAAAAATCACATTTCATTAACAATTAATCAAAACCCAATCTTTATGCCAAGCAAAACCCTAAACATTACCACACAATACCTGCGAAATATCTTAACAAAAGAACCCCTAAACAACACACTAGTTTAAAATCAAACATTAGGGAAGAAATTACCATGGGATCATAGATTGGGCATCCAAAAAACCTTCGACTAGGATTCTTTTCACTCCAAGACATGATCCTCGAAGCCTTCAAACCACAAAAGCAAAACCAACTTGGCCCCTCGTAATCATACTCCTGTCTTCCAAATTCCACCGGTGCTGAAGTGTGAGAGCTGCTGGAGCTAGGCATTGAACAAGTAAATGAAATGGGCGTGAATCTGAAGATCAGAGAAGAGAAGGAAACTCAAAACTCTTTGTGCCCTAGGGGTCATTTAAATAGATTTCTTTGCATTCATCTATCTTTCTTTTCTTTTTTTTTCAAACCTTTAGTCAGCGATGGAGCCCACAAAAAAATTGGCAGCAGGTAGACTTCTCGCTCGTGGGGTTCCAAGTTGGCATGCCAGGTTGTCAAAAAAATTCTGAGTTGGCACTGACATGCGCATACTTGACGGAGGCCAACGATGCACATGCTACACGTGACGTTCCGGCATTAAATTTTGCCTCATTTCCTCAAACTCGAAAACATTGAGGGTAAAAATCCATGTATTGTAATATGGAGGGTAAAAACCCTAAAAGTCGAAAAGTTAAAGGGGCAAATGGGTACCTTTTGCTGACATTTTCCTTTTCAATTTCTTTCTTTTGTTGGGTTAAAAAGAAACCCAGCAGAAAGAACAAAGGAATCCACCTCAAGATCGATAAAAAAATACCGGAATTCTAATAAACACACGTAATCACATATCCCCAACAAACCCGCACTAGAACCAACAAATCCCTTGTAGATTCGTATCAACACCCAGCAATTACCACCAAAACAACAAGAATCAACAAACCCATGAACATTTACCACCCAATACAAAAAAATAATAGTACTTCTTGCTCAGACAAGGGCTTGCACTACATGAGCTAATCAATCTGCTCATCCAAGTTCCTATGAGAATTCGACGGCACCGAATCCAAACTCATCTTTTTGTCTCCCTTTCTCAACCCTTTCCTCTGGTTCTTGCCAGATCAAAGCCCCAAATTTCGTCACTACAAAACCCTAGATTTTGAAGAAAACTTGTATAACCAGAGAAATGAAACCCTAAATTCCTAGGATTTCTAGAGAGAGAAAAATGGTAGTGAAAAGCCCAATGCCTTTCTCTTCTAGTTCCAATCAATCACTCAGTCCTTTTTAACCCAAAAAAAAAAGGAAATCGAACCTAGCAGATCTGGAAGAGATAGGGGTGAGGAAAATCAAAGGGAAGAAGATGAATTGATTTGGTGAGGAAACTCGAAGGTGGTTTTAGGTGTTAGGGTTTACAATAGCAGAAGGAAGGAAGATGAAAGAGAAAGAAAACGGGAAAGAGGAAAAAAAAGAGAGGAAGAAAAAAAAAAGGAAAGAAAGAAAAAAGAATTTCTTAATGTTATTTTATTGCCATGTCATTCATTTACCCCTGTTGTCAATCTTATGTGTCAAATATTTGGACACGTCATTTTCATTCCGTCAATTAACAGGCCACTTTAGCAAACATTTAACGAAAGGACTAACTCGGGGTGAAAATGATAAATAGTAGGGATCAAATCAAAAGTTTTTTGAGTTGAGGGACCAAGTCAGGGTCCGTACAATAGTTGAGAGAACAAAATGAGGGTTTAACCTAGAATTTAATGCAAGGGCTAGCTAACTGAAAGGTTAGGACTTAGGACAAAATTCTCAGAACCCTACACCACCAACGCGTCTTTGGCCTAAAGTATACAATTGGCCCCACCTTAAAAAATTTGAAGGTTTTAACCCCTTATCTTATACTATAAAGTTTTTAACCCCTAAAGTTAAAGGTTTGAAGAATTTAGCTCATAAACTAATGGAATTTGTTAACTTTCCGTTAAAGTGAATATCAAATCTTTACAAGATCAGTCTTTAAAGATTAAAAATATAATAATTTAGTTTCAAAATTTTTAAAAATTAAAAAAAAATTAGTAAATTTAAAATAATTAATGGATGTTTTTGCCATATACATAAAAACAATATTAGATATCTAAAATAAAATCAAGTAATTAACTCAATCTAAATAAACAAATTTGACTAAGACTAAAGAAAATTTCTTAATTATATTCTTTTAGTTTCTTGGGATTTTTGTCTTAACTCAATTAAGAAATTTTCTTTAATCTAAGTGAAAATTCTTTTTTCAAATTGAATTAATCACTCAATTTATTATAAACTCCTAATATCGTTCTAGTATATGTGGAAAAGTCATCTGTTAATTTTTTTTAATTTACTATTTTTTTTAATTTTAAAATTTTGAAACTAAATTTTTACATTTTTAATTTTTAAGAATTGATTTTATAAATATTTTTTTCTTATTTTAACAGAAAAGTAATGGATTTAGTCAGTCAAGGAGCTAAAATTTTCAAACTTTTAAGTTTAAGAATTAAAAACTTCATATTATAAGGTGAGGGGTTAAAAGTTTTAAACTTAATAAGGTAAGGGGCTAAATGTATGGTTTAACCCGCCTCTTTGAACTCTACAAATGCGGTTGTTCTTCTGTGAAAATGCATTCAAGCAATCTGATTCTGCTTCATCTTCATCACGTATGAGGTTTCTATCAATCTGATTGAGAGAATGGAAGCTTCGTTGCGATCGTGCAGTGTTAAGAATCCGAGCTATGGATTCACAAGAAACTCGCTGTTCTCCAATGCGCGCTTGCATTCGCTATCGTCGAGTCGGATTGAGTTCGTAGCGTCACCGGATTTCTGGTCTGCTGTAAAGAGCGCTTCTAGGAGCAGAGCGCTGAGAGTCCGTGGCATAAGAGGAGTTAGAGCCGTTCTGGAAGAGAAAAAGGCGGAGACCAATCAAAGCTCCGAGGGAAATGTGAATCAGTTCACTTGTGTTATGAAGTTCGGTGGCTCATCCTTGGCGTCGGCCGAGAGAATGAGGGAAATTGCTGAATTAATTTGCAGTTTTCCTGAAGAAAGGCCTGTTATTGTTCTGTCCGCTATGGGGAAAACTACCAACAAGCTTCTACTGGTAATGCACGACCAAGAATTAGTTTTGCTTCTGCTCCTTTTCATTATAGTCTTTTAGAGGAATGTATTGTTAATTGCATTCTAGTGGCTGTGATTTAGGCTGGTGAGAAGGCTGTCAGTTGTGGTGTTTCTAATGCAGCAGAAATTGAAGAATTGTGTTTTATAAAGGAACTACATCTTAGGTTTGTTTCTTAATTTTGTACTGTTTTTTTAGTTGAATATGTCTTCAGGGATCATAATTGGCTTTGTATCAATCTCAATTTGGGTGCTTTTGTTGGTTCAGGACTGCTGAGGAACTTGGAGTTGATCCCTCTGTCATTTCTGGTGAGTGCTTCGCTCGCCCTTCTATTGTTAATTAAAATCATTAATCTGGTGTCACTACTGAGTAGTCTCTGATATGCACACATATTAATACATCTCCTTGTATGTTCCAAAAAAAATGATAATACTAATATATTTCCTTGTTAAATTAGTCTGTGGTTTTTCATATGTTCCTTAAAAACCTTCTTAAAAATTTGATTTTTTTAGTTTAAGCTTTGATTACTAGATTGTGGGTAGCGAATTTAAGCATTTTTCTGTTATTTTAAAAAATAGAAATGTAATTTTTCAGCATCTCATGGAGCTGGTTAGGGGAAGTCATGTATAACCAGTAAGGTCAACTTCAGAACAAATTTATGTAAACTTTTTGTAGACGTATGCACCTGTTTTTTTATATTTTATTTCACTGCTTCTTCAACTACGCAGTTTGTTACCATTTTCTGAATTATGTTGAGAATAGTAGGAAATTGATATATTGAATACATATATATATATATATATATATTGGGTATATTTGCAGCACACTTGGAACAACTTGAGCAACTTCTGAAGGGCATAGCCATGATGAAAGAACTGACTCTTCGAACAACAGACTACTTGGTTTCATTTGGAGAGTGCATGTCCACAAGAATTTTTGCAGCTTATCTAAATAAAATTGGTGTCAAAGCACACCAAGTATGTGAACTACTGCCTTCTTCTCATTTTCTTTTCTTTTCCTCTCAGTCTTCCTTACTCTCCCTTTTTTATTTCCTTGTCAAAGGCCTGTTCCAATTCTTTCCTACCAGCTAACCATAATACATACCTTTTTGCAGTATGATGCATTTGAGATTGGTTTCATAACAACAGATGAATTCACCAATGCAGACATCTTGGAAGCCACTTATCCAGCAGTTGCAAAAAGATTAAATAGTGATTGGGTTAAAGATCCTGCAATTCCAATTGTAACAGGCTTCTTGGGAAAGGTTTGTTACACTGTCCGACTCTGTCATTATGTTTATGATTAAATATAAGTTGCTCTAAACTGGATTAATTGGCTGAATATGACAGACATAATGCAAGCTCATTTGTTGATTTTATTGTAGAGCTGGAAATCTTGTGCGATTACCACCTTGGGTAGAGGGGGTAGTGATTTGACAGCTACAACCATTGGTAAAGCTTTAGGATTGAAAGAAATTCAGGTCAGTTTTACTTTTCTTCTTTTTTCTCCTGAGTTAGGTTATGGTCAGATTATGGACTGAAACTGACTGCATGTGCTGAAGAACTCATATGAACATGAAAATGGTGTTGCAAGTAGTCAGATTATTTTTCCACAGGAATGGATATTCATTTTCAACTAATCTGGAGCACATGTCTCTTTGCACTTATTCTCAATGTGACACATACTGAAAAAACATATATAACAGCTCATTTCCCAATTAATAGGTCTGGAAGGATGTTGATGGTGTCTTGACATGTGATCCGACTATTTATCCATGTGCAGAACCAGTACCTTATTTAACATTTGATGAGGCAGCTGAGCTTGCTTATTTTGGTGCACAGGTAAGAATTGTGGTGTTTCTTGTTCTATGCTACTTAATAGCAATATAAAGGAGATCTGACCTAGTGGTTTAAATTGTCACATAATGTAATAAAACACATAAAAAAAAAAATTAAAAAAAAAAACTACTTACCTTGTGAAGAATTGAAACTAGTTTTTTCATGTGCCAATAGCACTAGTAGTGTTCTTCTGGTAGAAGTGTTCATGGTAGTGTTGGTCCTTGTTTATAACCTCCAATGTGAAGGGCACCATTTTGATTTATTTATTTTTTATTAGTCAGTGTGGTAAAGAATTGTAAGAGAAGATATATTGTTTAAGATGAGACTATTTTGGAGCATGTTGGCTTTGTTAAGGTGCCATGTATATAGAAAGAGACGGAGACTTTGGTATATAATTGTGTTACACTTCATCAAATTCTTTTTCAATACTGTCCAAAAATTCTGGTAGTCATAAGAATGCTTAGGAATTGTTTGCAGCTAGGGATTTGTGCATCTTGCAAACTTCTTAATGCTCCAAAATCTGTTTCTGGATAGTTAACCTTTATATGAGTATAAACATGGAAATCTGTCAAACCTATTCTCTTATAACTTGTTTGATGAATTGGCTGGCCTCATGGTCAGAAATTGCTTCTACATTCTGCTCTCTTGAAAGAATAGAACACTACTAATGTATTTAATCATTTAAAATTGTTATTGTAATGTTTGAACACAAAAAATTCTAACTTCATCTTGAGCTTTGACCAAATGTTGAATTTTCATGATGACAAAATCTCTGTGGAGTCTGCAAAGAGAAGTAACTGAGTAAAGTTGTCTTTATGTTTCCCTGCAGGTCTTACATCCACAATCAATGAGACCAGCAAGAGAAGCTGATATTCCTGTTAGGGTTAAGAACTCTTACAACGCTAAAGCTCCTGGAACACTAATTACTAGAACAAGAGATATGAGCAAGGTCTGTAAAAGCTATAATTTGGAAGATAAATTTCATTTTCATGGAAAGCTGAAATCTCTAATTGAAATGCAATTACAGGCTATCCTTACCAGCATAGTTTTGAAGAGAAATGTTACCATGTTGGATATAGTTAGTACACGCATGCTTGGCCAATTCGGTTTTCTTGCTAAGGTGAAATTTATGTTGTCATGTTCAGTTCTAACATTTATTTTTGCATCATATTCTGTAACCCATAAATGTAATTTGCAAACTTGGATATCGTTTTCCTTCAAGTAGGTATTTTCAATTTTTGAAGATTTAGGCATATCAGTGGATGTTGTTGCTACAAGTGAAGTTAGTATATCCTTGACGTTGGACCCATCAAAACTTTGGAGCAGGGAACTCATTCAGCAGGCAAGCAAACCTCTTATTTTGTTGCCTTGTAGTCACTTGCATATTCCTGTATGATTTTAAAGTTACTTTTGTTTTTCAATCAGAATTACACCTTATGCTTGGCACCTTAGAGGTCAGGAACTCTGACAGGTCTTATCATTTTATATTAGATTTGACACAGTTTCTTTACCACTTGAAAACCATTATCTAGATCTCAATTTTTATTCATTAGCCAACTTCCTTATTGTTCTTTCCTTATGAGCGCATCACTTTATTGATTTTATCGTGGAATCCAAATGACAAGCAATCTTGTTTGCCAGGAACTTGACCACGTTGTGGAAGAGCTTGAAAAGATTGCTGTTGTGAATCTCCTACAGGGCCGGTCAATCATATCTCTTATAGGAAATGTTCAGCATTCTTCGTTAATATTGGAGAAGGTATTCTACTTAGTTCAACTAGAAGAAAAACCATTTAGATTACAATATCAAAATGACAAAAAAATAAAAAAATTCCAAAAGTGTCATACATGACATTAAGATTTACAATTAAGCCATGATATGCAACAAATACTGTTTCACTGTCACCTAACAGAACTGGTTTCAAAATTTGGCAGGCTTTTCACGTTCTTCGAACCAATGGAGTCAATGTCCAGATGATCTCTCAAGGGGCATCTAAGGTCACTCCTGCAACTCTTTTACACATGCCATCCATGTATGACTTATGATTTTGGTTTTTGATAATTTGATTAACTAAGTCTTGAAACTGAACAGGTGAACATTTCACTAATAGTAAATGACAGTGAAGCGGAACAATGTGTCAGGGCCCTTCACCAATCGTTTTTCGAGAGTAGTGATCTTTTCGAGTTAATTGATGGCAGCACAAATGGCTCTGCTTCATCACTGCATTAGAAAGTAATTGATTCATTGATATGATTGCTTCTATTATTATTATAGTTGGTTATTGCAGTTCCATTGATCCATATTCAATGTGAAATGACTCTGGGTCCTGCTTCTAGGGGTTCTGTGTTCTGTCATAAAGGTTCTTGAGTTATTTGATAATTCTATCTATTGAACTGTGAGGCCATAATCAGTTGGCTCAGCAGAAGTTTATTCATTTTGTCACCAAATCCTACATTATTTTGTTTTGTTTATGAACCAGATGATGCAGATGGATGTCTACTATCTTTTAATGGTAGGATATGGTAGTCTACTTATTCAAAGGTCCGGTTTTGTTTAGATGTATTGATAGTTGTTTTCTCTAAGTTGATAAATAAGGGTTCTATGGATTATAGATAACAACTAGAGTCTCTTATTGAAATGATCCAAAGAACTTTCATTTGGCTCCGTGGAAAGATGGAGGGGAATGTATTTGCATTCTCCGAATGGTGCCTTAATCCTGAACTTTGCATTAGATGGCTCTACCATCTAATGTGTCTTTGGATTTTATTGCTTAATTTCTGAATTTGTGGGGTTGTTCTTTATGTAAGAAAACAACTTTTATATAGAATTTGTTTATGGATAGGAGTACCATTTGTACCCATATTAATACATTTTAATTTATTAAAAAAAAAAAAAAACTAGAGTCTCTTATTTTGCAATTTGAATTGCAAACAAGAGCCATTATCCAATGGTTAGTGTTGTGCAAATCAGCTTATAGATAACAACTAGAGTCCCCAGTTTTGTAGTCTAAAACTACAAGACAGGGCTATTGTACAAAAGTTAGTATTGTGTAATTTGGTATAGTTTGAAACTGCACAATACTTTTTCCTAACAACTATCCAATTATTTTGTTATCTGCTATTAGTTAGAAACCAAACAGGCCAAAGTAAAAATAAGCATGAGTACCGCAGTGCACTATCATAAACAAGAATCCATGCATTATCTCTTAAGATTTTCAATAGTCTAAATCAAAGTGAAAATCTCCAATAGTCAATGTAAGAGGAAGATAAAACCTCTCCTACAACTACAAACTAAAGACTGCAGGATTCAGTTACCCAAAGGCTCAAACTAGTGCTCTGGTCTTCAATCGTTTCCTTCACCATCTGGATTGAAAGGCTGTGTGCCCATCCTCTTCACCTCTTCTCGAGTATAAATGTAGATCGTCCGGACCATGCTACAGAATTCTCTACGTTATGAGAAACAAAAAATCAGAATTGCAAATATCTAGGGGAACAATCATTTGCAATCTCACAACATTGTGTACGCAGTATGGTTTGATTAGAAAGTCTATTTTTAATCCATAATTTGAATTCTATACACTTGGTTTAATTAAATTTTTTTTTTATTTTTTACTAAACTCCCATATCTGAAAACTACATTTAGCTTGACTAATCTAAAGTTTGCGCTAGGTCAAACCTCATAAGGAGGAACTTTTCTTAGTGCCTATCTCTTCATACTTGAGACTTTAGTTAATGCTAATAGAGTTCTTTCTATTCGGACTAACAAACAAATTGTTAGTTGTAGAATTCATTTGTAATTCTACATCCCTTGTGTCTATTTTGATTAAAAAGCATGGAATTCAATTCGAGACTATTGAAATAATTATTGGGTTGGAGTTTAGAAATGAATTCCACACTTTTAAATGAACCAAGTATTGATATTACTAAAATACTCCTCAAAATAAAACTCTGTCCCTCCACCTCTACAAATAATTACACTTTAGGCACAAATTGATATAAAATTCTTCTACCTAATTCCCAACATAAAATCGTGTGCAATTAAAGTCTATACTTGAATTATTCCAAATATAAGAATTCATTTGCAAATGAACTCGAAATAAATTCTTTAGTGAATTCATTTGGACATGAATTCTAATTTCATTTATATCAAACATTAACATACTTAAAAATTATAAATCACAAGAATTCATTTGAAAATTAAATTAATTCTATTCATTTTCAAACCAAAACACACGGTAAGGTGGCAATCTTTGGAGGCAGGAATTAGTTGGAAAACCCGAAAAACAGTCACTACATGTACATAAGCGCATAATTTTCAAGTACTTACTGCCAGGGATCATCTCCAACAAGCATCATATCGCCCTCGTCATCAGTAAATACAATTAGCCACTTCCTGTTGTGAGCTATTAATTCACCATTAAATTCAAAAATCTGATCCAGTGCTGCTCTCAGCTCATCATAGCCACTGAACTTGGTGAGATCAACCCATCTCCCAACAGCAATGTCCCGCTTGTAAACCTGAGAAAAGAGGTCAATTGTAACTAAATTGTTTGAGCACATGAAACATGCTTTAAAATATAAATCAGAATAATTGGCCCTCAACTAAATCAGAAATAACCTTAATAAAACGTCTGGATGAACCACATTGAATTTCTCCGTAAATGTCACCAGAAGGATTTCCTGGTTTATCACTTTCAGTTGCACTCTCAGCAAACACACAACCTCTTGATTGCTCCAATAATAGATCACAACCCAAGCCCTGTGGTTGGTCTGATGCAATTGTTTGCCATTGTGGCCTCTGCATGAAATTTCCACATTGAGTGATTGGTCCTTTTTCGCCAGTGTTGCTGCTGAGGGATATTCCAAAAAGCTTGCACTTGTTATCTTCTTTGGATTTTACCACATCTTGTGGCTGTAAAGATACAGGCCGTGAATTCAGCACCTTCACAGGTGAATCTTCAGCATGTGTTGCTGGTAACAGAGGTGACATCCAGTTTTGAGGTTGCTTCAGCACTTCAGAAGCATGCAGTCTATTGTACTCTAGACATGCACTTGATTTAATATAAACAGAGTCTTGGTAACATGCCATGTTATCTTCCACTGAAGGTTCCACACTGGACTTGAACATTTTCATTGAAGGATATGAATTCAAAATGGTTTGTGGACACCGAATCAACCTAAATGTGTCTCCCTTATCTAAAATGTTCTCATTCAAATGGACACCATTCTCGAACTTCCTTTCAAGACCAGGGTTAAATTCAAGTTTTTGGAGTGGCCAAGGAGCCAGGTTCATATTCTTTTCTCTATTAATTTCATGAGGAAACACATCCTCCCAGCACAATCTTCTTTTAACAAAACCTGTCCCTATCTGATCCTTGTCTTGTGATGGGCTCGATACATTAAGACTTTGACCTTGCAAGGTTCCAGGAAATCCATTGTCTGATGAAGCATGTATAGTTGTTTTTGATGAACCTGAACATATAGACATCAAGGAACTGAACATATCACCTCAACAGATTATAACTACAAGACAGAAGAACAGTATAGGGAGAAGAAGAGCCTCTCAATGCACAAAATGCAAGTCGTTTATACCTTTCCTCATAAACAATGTGGAATTATTAGATGATGCTGAAATGTTTGTGTGGCACCTCTTCAGATGGGATGGTGGACAAGGATCTAACGCAGGAGCTAGCGCAGGCTCTATTTCCCAGGGGGAGACCCTCTCTGGGCAATGATGGGAAGACGCTTCATCCCAGCGCACCTAGAAGAAATGTAGGAAGATTTAGACATGAAAGAGCAATACTTGTGCATGTGGATACATTATATGCTGATACCTTGAGGCATCTCCATTTAGAACCAGGCCATCTGATGGGATCAACTTCTTCATCTCCAATTATGGTGCCGGAGAACCTAGTGATTAAGACAAGATGAGCTCAAAGGAGGCACAGAGTTATTTGGATTAGTTTTTGTTTTAGCTTGTCAACTTCAACCCAGTTTGAGTTATTGATTATTAATTTTCTTTTAACTTGTCAACTTCAGAGTGGTTAAGGAAAATCATACCTCTGTTCAGATGTCTCCTCCCCCTCAAACGTCATCTTGAACCTCATCCCTATATCATAATCCTTTTTGATAGATTCAACATATTTATCAAAGGGAACAATGAACTCAGCAGGGCTAGTCCTGTAGCACAGATTCAGCAAAGAAAAATTAATTAAGAAACACACATATGACAAAAGAACTGAACTGGCATCCATACAGACTCAGAGGCCATTTTATTAATGTATAAATTTTTTTTGTTTCTTGAAATTGAATTCAAAATTGGATTCTCTTCTTAAAGGAAAAAAAAAAAAGAAAAAAAAATATAAAGAAGACAACAGGAAGAAGAAAAAAGGTATGCCAAAAAGGATGAACTCCTGTAAATATGCAAGTATGTAGGATCCTCGCATTTTGCCAAAAAAATTGTAGGATCCTGGCAAGCAGGCAAGTAATCTTCATTTAGGGATGGTAAGTCCTATAGCCTATAGGGTAAGAGTTGTCTTCTCTTACCATCGTCAAAATTGCCAATTATAGGTTCATTAGATTTTTTGTTCTTGAAAATGAGAAGGCTCCTGAATTGAATTATGCAGAAGGTGTGACCTGGGCTTGATGAACCCATCCTTGTGCATAACTCCTACTCTTAAGGGTAGTAGGCAAGTAAAATTATGCCTGATTATGAATCTGCTGAAAAAATTCTTCCTGAAAAAATTCAGGTTCATAACTAATAAATGTGTAAAGAGATACCTTGGTTTGTAATAGACAGTGAACATTGTCCCCGTTGAAACAGCATGCCATGCTGTTGCAAGAACCCCTACATGCATACTGTGGCTTGATATTACTGAGGATGAAACATTATTTGCATGTCGCACTGCTCGTCTTACTCCTACACAAAGTTGCCCTGTTTCACCCCTGCATAAAAATCCAGAAATTAATCAGTTTGAGTAATTAATTGTTAAATCAATTGTGTATAGGTGGCATACACTTTGATTTAATGTGGCACAACCAAAAGCAACCCAACCTATGGTAGAAAGATACTAGAATTACCTACTCCAAATAAAAGTATACAACTTGAAGATACTAGAATTATCAACACTAAAAAACTTGGAAAATGAGAATTGTATACCTGAGGAAAATGAAAGCATCTCCGGCAACAAGCTTTTTCGAGTTGACAAAGTGACTCCAACCACTTTGAAGTAGATGCCTTCTTGGTTGACCTAAAATTAGAATTCTGTAAAATTTAAGTGATGAAACAAAGTATCTAATGTTTATAACAACAGCAAGCATAGCATGCCGTTAACAAGCAAATAGCTGGAAAAAAGTTATGTACTAAGAGAACACAATAACTGAATTATAAGGTAGTGTGTGACCATACAAAAGGAGAAAAGTACAACTCATTAAGTATCAAAGGGGATGATGCACTATCATGGTGACAATAATTTCAAGTGGTTCTACAGAGGAAAAGTAATAATTAGGTTATAGTAAAAGCTAAGAATAAAAATAAAAAAGGTAAAACAATAAAAATAAAAATAAAAAAGAGGAAAGAAAGATAAGAGGTTTTGGGGAAATTAAAATGAAGCCTCCTCCATCCCACGTCTTCCATGAACAACTACTTTATTTTCCTACATTTCAAAAAAAAAGAAAAAAAAATCATAACTTCATTCTTACGGTCTTGTCATTTTCCACAATTGCAATTAATACTGCTGAACTATGATGATTAGTGAATGCCATTTCAGAAAGGGTTAGCTGCATATGCTTCTAAATCTAACGAGATGGTATTTGTTATGACTTAATGGCAAGAATGATCGAACAAGATCTTTTAGGAATAACAAACAAACCAAAACTTTCTGTCACCATGGCCAATAGCCCGAACGCCTGATGAGGAGCATACGCCCTCATTCATGTCTAAACAATTTACAGATAACTAAATCAGGGAGCAATTTTGACCTCGAAAGATGTGGCGGAAGCGCCACTCATTTCCATGCAAATCCCTGGCTACCAACTCTTGAGTCGGAGGTTGCTTGGACATGTCCTGCAAAAATGCCAACAATAAGTAACGGACATGCCCATACCAATGAACCCTAAGACAAGTAAACAAAAAACAGGTGTGGCAGTGGCAAAACCAGAGGAGGAAGACATTCATCAGCATGACGTCTCAAAACCGAGAATCCACCATGAGTGCTGGTATCTGAGGCAGTAAGAGTCTTGCAGAAGGAATGCACGCGAGTACGTGGAGTAGAAGGCACCTCCTCTTTCTCCATCAAGTTCTCATCTTCCTGCCATTGTCACGGATTCGGATTTTAAGTTACATAGATACGATCAATCCACATATTAACTTGCATTAGAATCCATAGAAAGAAGCATACATTAGCTAAAGGAAGCAACGTCACTTGAGCAAACACCTCGTCCGTGTCCAGTTCAGCCTGCACTCGAACATAGAAAACCTTATATCCAATCCAAATTCGAAAGAGCAGCATGCCTTACCAAAAAATTTATGAAATCGAATCAGTACTTTCAGTTGAACATTAACCACACGGCACAATATTTTCGGCGAAAGATCATAAGCAGGCATTTGCTGGTTAGAAACTTGATTCGTGGATGCTTCAACCTGAATTAATAAAGATCTTGGACATAAATAAGTAAACATAAAGAAACCTAAAAATGAAAATGAATAAACAAAACATGAATCCAAATTCATAACCTGCTCTATATGACCCTGAGGAAAATAGAAAACCAAATCTCCCTGGCGAGGCACCGTAACCAGAGGACCGGCACACGCATGCCACAACTCCTTGTACAGATCATCGCCGGCATCTGCCAGAATATCCATAATCAACACGAAACACCATCAAATATGAAAACAAACTACTTCTTGGATCAAAAGCCTTACTGGTTGTCGGAAAACCTGAAACTCCTCTCGACGCCTCACACTCCATGCCGTGAATCAGATGCAACTCTCGCGTCGCCGAGGAACGATCCGAGGAGAGAGTGTAGAACCGAAATGAAGGATCCTTGTATATGATAATAATGGGAAAGCTGAAATTGGAATTCTAAGTTGGAGAGGGAGCGATGGGGAGAGTGAAAGAGGAAAAAAAGATGATCCGTGAATTTGATTGGGTTGGGTTACGCTTGGTCATGATCGCCTCCGTCCTTTTTCCCTGCTCCATTTTCTCTCTCTTCTGCGACACTGCCATTACTATTCATGCAGTCCCAGCTCACAGTGGCGCTGGCGACCACTCCTTTTAACCTGCTCAGATTCTAGCGCGCAATTATTTCCACAGTGGGGATTTATTTTAACCGTTTCTTCCGGTCACAGGTGAAAACGGACCTCGTTTGTCCGGTAGTGAACGGGCAGATAGATATACTGATATACAAACGGATGCGCTGATGCGGGCAGCCGAGCAGTTGCAAGGTTATGTTAACGTCCTTATTATCGTAGGTGCCTCCGGCAACCATCACGTTGGAGAAACCCCCCTTTAGCCCCTGAACTCTTAAGCACTAGTCAATTTGAGTATTGTGTGATTGTGTCCTTCCTTTATTTATTTATTTTTATTCCTTTTCATTCATTTTAAAATTTAAATTTAAAATTTTTAATATGAAAATTAAAATTCTTTTGTAGTTAGGTTCCTTGAAAAAAGTCATTTAACTACTATTTAGTTAAATTAAATATAATATTAAAAATGAAAAAAGATGATTTTGGTTCTAAAGATAATTACACGATTGATGCTATAAGAAGGCTTAACATAAGGGACAACTTAAGATTATTGTTGGTGTATCAATTTCAATGCTACAAGGAAGAGCACTAAATTGTGCTTACATCATGTGGACAAGATTGATAATCCTACCAAAAGTACTTTTCCTTGTGCTTTATAAATAACTACATGTCAAGTGATAAAGTGTTTATAGATTAAAACTTATAATTTTAAAATTATGAGTTTGACTTATTTATATATGTAGGTTTTAAGTTCAAGAGTTGGATGTGTTAATAAGTAAAAAAATTCAATTGTCTTGAATATTCCAAACCAATATAGAAGCTTTTCCTTTAGCACATTAACTTAAAGACACCTTAAAAAAGAAAAAAACAATAATCATTGGCAAATTTTCTCTTTTAATTTTAATTACTATAATTAATAAACTCTTTTGTAACCAAAAAAATTAATAAACTCTTCCTAATATCATTCTCTGGATTATCAAGAAAATTTTATATAATCTCTATTAATTGAAAGACACAATTAAAAGGGTAATTTAAAGTGCCATTGGGAATAATTGTCACTAAAAAATAAAAAGGTTTACTTGAGAATTTGAGAAAAGTTGAGGGTCTGAGAAAAGTTTTTTTTTTTTTGGGTAACAGGATATGGTGTGCTCTGTACGGAAAGCTGCCCTAATTCAGAAATGATTTTTGTCCTGTTAATTTTATTACCGCAACAGGCCAGCTTTGGATAAGAGCGCGAAAGACATTGGAAAGACACGATAAAATAACTGCTCGGTGAGTCACCAACCACTAAAATCCTGATCCCTAAAGGCAACGTCCGCCGCCGGAACTCCACTCCGTAGCAGACTGACTTACCCCCCAGCAGCCACAATGGTGGAGAGGTTCTTTTTCACGAGCCAAACTGATGTCCACCGCCGAGAACCTGACCCAATTACACTTCTCTCTGGACCTCCCTCCTGGTAAAAACTTATCTCTTTCTTTTTCCATTTCACTTTCACATCACTGATGAGTCAGTGAGTAATAACGTCGAACACATGGTAGGGCTTGGTTACTAATGGGTGGGAAACGTAATAAGAGGAAATCTAAGTGCCCCATGTACCATGATTTACTTCGTGAAATGTGTGATGAAGAAACAAGGATCTGACTGCGACCTTCATTGTTTGGCTTAAGTTTAGCAGCAAGTTGCTTGTTTGCTTCACAAGTCAAGGGCATGTGGGTTACTGCATTCATGTGAATTTCTGAATTATCTCTGCAATTCTTGTGATGGGTCATGCCTTCATTTTTGACTTTACAGTGGAAAGACCTCGATGCTTTTTCAGTTTGCATTCAACTCTGCATCAGAGTCCTGCTCTGGGAATCGTAATGTCGTTTTCATATGCAATCGACGCAGGCTAGAGACCAAACCCCCTTTTCTTTCTCAGGTACTTCTGTCAATCTCCTCATGGATAAAGGGTCTTTAATTCTCTGTACAAAAAAAAGCTAAATGACATTTTAATTTTTCATTTCATATGGGTATCAAAATTTCAGGGTATTGATCCATCTTCTGATGTTTTTCAGCATATAAAAATGAAGTAAGAATCCACTACCCACCAACAGCCTCTTGATCAGAAATTATTTTAGCGATCAACTATTATACTATGATGAGAACTGTAGTTACATTTGGTGATAGCTAATTCAGTGTTGAATCTTGCTTTAAGATACATTGAAGATGATGAAGGAATCAAGAAGTACTTTGCTGCATTTCACATGCACGATACATTTCCAGCTGCTATTGTCATTGATAATTTTGGAGATTTCTTCAACGAATGGTACTTCAATTTGCTATTTTATCATCAGCTCCCATGCATATCATGTTCTGATATATCCCTGTCACCCATTTTCATTGATAGGAATTGCCAAGAGAGACATAGGAATCCTCGTGGAAGAGACTTGGCAATGGTTCACACCCTAGCTCTGTGTCATAATGCAATAACTCATGCAAAGTAAGTGCTCTTTTGAAAGTGAAATGCTTAATTGAAAATGGCTGTTTAGCAGTATCTGTTTAACCTCTATTTTTGTAGTCAAAAAGGGCCTTGCCAGCTTTTATTGTCTGATACACACCAGGGGGACGCACCAAGATTGCTGTATATCTATAAGAGGTGGATTCAAACCATTTTTGTAGTCAAAGGTTTGTCTTAAAAGGATACATCTTTTCAAAGAATGTTATGATGACAATTGTTCTTCCAATGGCATGTTGGCATGTCTAATGCATCAGCAATGCTTTATTATGATTATGGACCCTTCTCTGTTTTTCACAGATTTTCTTTCAATCCTCATTGAATCATTACAATAGAATTGGATTTGATTTTTTGTGATATAGGTGATGGCTTTGGATCATTTCTTTTGAAATATAACAACTACGCAGCAAGTGGTAATGCTAAGAGGACAAGAACAGCAAAGTACTCTATAGCGTTTCAATATCTATTATTGGAGGGGATAACTGAGGACAGTGATCAAGAATTGCTGACAGATTAAGTTTATTGACATGGAATTCCAAAGTGATAATTTTATAGCTCTTCGGCAAAAACTTATTGAGGAATATCTAAAGACTGAAGGAAGTCAGTAGCAAAGTTGTTAGATTCATGTATTGGGCTTTTATTTTGCGGTCACTCTCAGCTCAATGAAAATCTGCAGTTTGGACAAGTAAACTTGTGATTAAGAATGTAATTTAACTCTGGGACACATTATTCTGAACATATGAATTTGAGCTTAGTTCAGAAGTGGACCAAAAAACGAAAGGGAAATTTTAGGATTTTTGCTTGTGCTTTCCCTTCTGGAACCCTACTTTTAGGGAACAAAAAATTTAGTTGGATTTAACATGGCATTACTTATAGCATCTATGATTCACAAAGTTGGCACCCAGGATTCAGGTTTGCTTCGACACTCAAATGTCATTAGAGCTGGGTTACCTCAATGCTCATGTTGCTGGTATACATTTTTGTGATATATTTTATTCACATTCTGTTCTCAAGTTACTGCTTAGGATTTAATTTGCTATGTCCACAGCAGCAGCAACAACAACAAAAGGAACTCGTAAGGAACAAGAAGAAGTTCATTAGCTTCAAAACCAGGACCCTTAGTCAAGAACTTTACAGGTAAGCTGCAATTCTGTCAAGTTATTCACAGATATTAAGAAAGTCAATTACAAGTATAGAAACATATTGGTTTTGCACCTTGCAGCCTTCTGTTACTGTCTTCTAGTAAACTCATGCCTTATACTCTGGCTCGCAAAATTCTCCTCCAAGATCATCACAAGCCTCATCCAGGAAGACCCTGCAACAATTACAAAGCAGAAGATACATGAATCATTCTTTTTGACCCTCTTAAGGAATTAAGATTTAATGTCCAAATATCTTACGTCTTAGGACTGTTGTACTCCACATATTCCCTGTCATACAGCTCAGAAGTAGTCCTGGTCTTGGTGCTTTCAGACTCCGACTTGAGCTTCACCTCCGGATACATCTCCACATCACAAGCTTCTCCCCCAATGGTCTCACAAGCCTCAGCAGGAAAAACACTGCATCAACTTGTAGAAACATTAGCATCTTTCCATACCAACTTTGACAGCTACAAGCTGGTAAAAAGAAGCAATTAAGGGGCAAACTTACGAGGTCATGGAGCTATAATCAACTGTTGAATTGTCATTTGCCGCTGCAGCTGTTCTCCTTGCGCGGCATGGAGGAAACTGAATCTTTGGTGTGGATTTCCGTGGCAAAGCCATGGTCTTGGAGGGTGGTGCAATGGAGATGGCTGGTGTTGAAAGGGTAAAGGCTGCCTGCATTTTCCTGATTGGATTCTATGAAGTTTGGTTTTAGAGGATACAGAGGGACAGAGAGTAAGATATCAAACATATAAAGCTTGATTGGTGACATGAGTAGATAAGGTTTGCATAGATTTTTTTGATGGTGGATACTGGATAAGGTACATGTCTGTTTCAATTTAGGAATAGTCTTGTGAGAATAAGTCCATTTTCCTGTCTCTCTCTTCACTGGGGCTAACGAGCCGACACTGATTGATTCCAATGTTATAAAGTTGTTGGGCTTAGCCCATAGTTTTATAGATCAGCTTGATGGGCTTCTTGGCGTCAAGCAAACTATCTCAATCAAAATAATAACATTTGCAGATATACTTCATTCTCTAAATTAAATTGTCTTCTTTTTTTTTTTTCAATAAGAATAGTTTAATTTAATTATTACATATTTTAATTTAGTAAGACATTAAATATTAATTTTGCCTTTATTTCTCTAAAGAGATTAAAATGGGTTAAAATTTTTTATTTTATTCTGGGTTTAAAATAAAAAATAAATCTTAATTATTATAATAAATAAATTTTGTAATAATTATAAATAAATAAAGTGATAGCTAGATATAATTAGAGAGTATCAGGTTAAGCGCGAGAGAAATGCATGGGAGGAAAGGTAATATTCTTCTCTTTTCCCATCCTGCCGCCAAAATTATCGGTATAAGGAAAATTAAAGGAAAGCTTCTCTTCTCCCTAAAATCAAACAAATCAAACAAGTTATTATTATTATTATTATTATATTTAAATATCTAATAACCACATTAAATTTCAATTAATACAAAATCGAATTGTATTAGACAATAAATCAAACAAGTTAATAAACTTTAAAAAGTGTTGAAATTGTTCTGTAGAGCGGTTCCTGTCATGCTATTGTCAAAAATTGTGTTAATAAAAAAAGTGATAACTATTTTTTTATATTAATGTTCGATAACCATTTCTGTATAATTATATAATTATATTTACAGCAAAAATATAATAATTATATAATTATTAAAATATAGAAACATAAAATAAAATCTACTTATTAGTCCCAAGGATTAACATTTTTAACAAAGTATATTCTGCAAATGCAAAACCACGCTGTAAGTGTCAAACACAACCTTAACAATCATTTTAACTGAAAATTTTTGCTTGAAATGTACCTTCTAAACTCTTATATATTTATCTCTTTCATTCTGAAAAAGAAGAGGGCCTCTTCTCTGTATTTTATCCACATGCTTTGCCTAATAATCCTGGAAAATCTTGATATGGGAAAAATGTACAGGGTCCACAGAAAGAGAAAAGCATCTGAGAATAATACTAGAAGCAAATAGCATCATCTAAGGTGAGATGTAAGGATTCACCAAAATACGAAAAAAGGTGAGACATGAGGGGTAATTTTACAATTAAGATACTCTCTTGACCCATTGCGATGCCTTTGAAATTCACAAGTCACGCCCTTGAGAAGCATGCTTTGCTTTTGGTATTGGTCACAGATGCTGCATTTATGCTCCTCTAGGTTTTAGACTTTTAGTATGCTCTAACATTCATCCATCCCCATTCCCCACCACATTCTTTTGCTTCATACTTTGAAGGCTTCATACGTTGCAAAGACAATGTCAAAACCACACCTTACCCCATCAACTGGGATTTTAAGCTTGATTTAGACAATATCCTTCTAATTTGACGCAACAAACATCTCAGACCCTACCAACCTTAAAGATAGCTAGCTAATTTTGGAGTAAAAGCATCTGTTAGTTGGGGTAAAAAAGGTTTTGCAGACATAAAGTAGCTAAGAGAACTACTCCACTACCAGTTGTTCAAAAACAAAGGATGCAGATGTGTTCCCCAGAGGTGTCAGATCAAATTACCTTTCTTGAGTTAAAATTCTCTTTTTGCATTTGTGGTGTACACAACTTCATAATTCACATGCTATGATGAGTAGAACATTCAGATCTGAACAGAGGCAGAAAATAAAAGAATGCCAGTCATAAACATAATGTGCCTTCTCTTTCAATGTCTTATGACTTCAAGTCCTTATTTATGGATTGCGGTTCAAAACTTCATATCACTCAGAGTGACATTCAAAAATATCCAATTCCCAGTATCCAAAGAGATTTGAGTTTCAATATACTTACACATCAAAAACTGTGCAGCTGAGTTAGCAACAGAACAAGCTCGTCACTAGAAGGCCTATCTGCAGGCAAATCTGATAGGCAGACGACAGCAATTTTCACTGCCATCAGCATCTCATCTTCCTCCACTTCTTCTCCCAGAATACTTTTATCAAGTGTTTCCCTTGCCTTCCCTTCCTGCTGTAAATGCCGAAGCCATCTCGCTAAACTTCCTATGTTGACTGTTTCCCTAAAGAAAGGATCGTTTGGGTCTCTACCAGTCAACAGAACAGCCAATATCATCCCAAAGCTAAAGATATCACTCTTATTGGTATACCTGTCAAAATTGAATTATCCATCTTTGTTAGAACAAAACATATGGTTTGATTTTTAAACATTCACAGAAAACAGAAATTTCTGTAACAACAAGGTTTTTGACTTGTGGGTTATGGCAGCCAATAATATTCATCAATAAACACCAATAAACACATAGCAGTAGGAAACTGCAGAACCTCGAAACAAATTTCCTCTACTTTCTACTTTCATGGTGAAGAGAAAAAAATGGTTGTTTCAGACCCAGAAAACCAATGCTCACTCCTTGAGCTTCCTCTTGCAACAGTCCTAATAATAAATTAAGTTCTAGGGGAACAATTGGAGATCTTCAGGAGAAGGAAATACTAGGAAAACAAGACAGAAACACCTTTCCATTGTAATTCTCCAAATATTAGTAATCAATTGCAACGGCAATTACAGAAAAGAAACGCACTTAACATGCATCATGTAGATGAAAAATTAACCGGCATGATATTTGAGAGTTTATGACACAACTTGTCATTATCTCAAGAAAGAAAAAATCAGGGGCAAACGCCATTAGTTACAAATGGATACCAGAGATGACACTATCCAATTAATCCTCAGGGATAATAAAATGAAGCTACTTTTAAAATCCAACCATAAGTCATTCATTCACTGCAGTCTAACGTTTCAGCAGAACACAGAAAGACAATTCAACAATCTCTAAATTGAACCATGACATGATTTCAATACCTGCGGTTCTGGAAACACTCTGGAGCACAGTATACTGAAGTTGCCCTATCCATATTGGGCATAAGCTTAACCAACCCACAATCTGCCAGCCTTGGCTCAAATTCAGCATCTAACATCACATTTGTGGGCTTTAAGTTATGGTGCACAATCTGAGGGACACAAGTAAAATGAAGATACTGAAGCCCCTTAATCACGCCAACTGCGATCCTCAGCCTAACCTCCCATCCAAGTTGCAACTGATTTTCCCTAACTTCGTTCATTGCATCCTCAAGACTCCCTGTGGGCATATAATCATAAACCAAGGAAAACCTATCAGAGTCGCGAACATAAGCCCTTAAACTCATCAGATTTCTGTCCTTTAAGCTGGCAAGGACCTCCAGTTCGTGTTGTATTCTTCTCTTCACAGACTTGTTTAGCCTCTCTGGCGAACCTGCATCGAAGGTTTCAAGGATTTTGACTGCAATTGTGAGCCCATTGTCAAGAACTGTTCTGTAGTACTTCCCATTCGGGCTTGACCCTAGCAACTCGTTCTCATTTGCAAGAGCTGATTGCAGAGTTTTGGGGCTGATTTTCGGAGAAAATACAACAGGGCCTTTGAGAATTGGTGTTCTGTTCATGTACTGAACCATACATTTGACTAAGAAAGCAAAAACAAGGGCTCCAATTAACCCAGTTAGAATCCCCAACACAATGCTAAGGATGATCTTCTTGAGTCCATACTTGAATTCCGGGGTCCGAGAAGGCGAAGGAGGTTGCGAAGAAAGGTGCCTACTGAACCTATCATGGCATTGGACTGTTGTTTGATGAAAGCAAAGAATGAACAGCAAAAGCAGAGACTGAGAAAGTCTTCTTTTCTCCATAGAAGCAAAAAGCTACAAAAGAACATCAAAATCACAAAAGGGAGGAGAAACTCAGGCCGAAATTGAGAGCCAAACTCCCATATCCTGAATAGTTGCTATCTTATCTTAAAGTTCCAAGCTACCATAGTTCCAAACCAAAAACCCATCAAAAGCTTCAATCTTTCTGCAAGATCTCACAAGAACAAAGCTAGAAATCCTCACAAAAGTGGATATAGAGCTAAGGGCTTAAATTTGGACCGAAAGAAAAATAGAAGCTCCAAATTTGCCTGATTCATAAATCTGGGATTCTAAAAACCTCCAATTCCTGTGGAAAATTGCTTGGAAAACCCGAGACAAAGCTCAAACTGCTTGAACTGAGGGTAGCATCAGGAAAAAAAAGAGGAATTTTCAACTCTAAATCTTCACGAGAACGACGCAGAGAACAACTTCGTCACTGATTCTCATCCCTCCCTTGACCAGAAAACCAAAGGAATCTGACCCTGATAATGTATCCTGAAAATTTCACACCCAACACGGCAGAATAGAAACCAACAGTCCCGCATTTGACTAGACATAAGAAATTAAAAAAAAAAAAAAAAAAAAAAAAAAAAAAAAAAAAAAAGAAGAACCCCCGAACCAAAACAAAAAAACCCAGCAAAACAAGTCAAAGGAAGTCCCTTTCTACTTTTGCTTCACTCAACAAATAATGGGTTTTGAAGCAGAATCAGAAAAACCTCAAATGCTTCTTTATTCATCCCCAAAATTCTTGATTTGCGGGTGTCTTTCTCTGTAATACTGATCTGGGGATGAACCGGGCCTGGCCTGCCATGGCCTTCCCGCCTTGGAGTACAGGGTGAAGGTGGGGTCCATTGACACGCGGGCAGAAGCAACGCTGTCACGAGGCCGAAAGCGAAACATCGAACTGTGTGTTGCAAACAAAGGGGGAGTGACGGACAGAGATCAGGGCCGTCAGTTGAGTGGAGGGAAGAGATCAGGGCCGTCGGAAGGGGAACCCACGGGAATTTGTGCGGTGTGGCTTTTTGTGATTAAACAAAATGGAGTGTCTTATCGTGGGATTAGCAAAGTTTTACACTTTCTCCATCCAGAATAATTGCTTTCCCTTCGGTTTAATTTTTTTGTTGAATTTTGGCTAACTTGTAGTTTAAAAAAGTATTAATTATATTTTTTATTATTAATTTATATAAAAATAAAAATTTATTTTAAATTTATCTTAAATTAATTATGCATAATTTGTTATTTTTAAAGATAAAATAAATAAAGTTTTTTAATTTAATCTTATTATTATTTATTTATTTTAATTTATTATTTTACCATAAAAATTTCTTTTTATTTTTTATTTTTTAAATATAATTTAAATAAAAAAATAATTTTATGTTCTCAATAATAAAACAACTATATAAGTAAATACATAAATTATTTTTAAAATTTTTATTTTAAAAAAATTAAATAATTGTTTTGAAAAAAAAAACTAAATTACACAAAATAACAATAAATATATTTTTTAATTAATTTATAGTATAAAAAAGCAACAAAGTTACAACTTTATTGCTAATTTTTATTAGTATTCAAATAATTAAATTATATATGTATTACACATCTAAGATATTACTTTTTAAAAAATCGTTTTTTCATGGTACAAATTTTTTAAACTAATTTTTTTTCCGACATCTCTAAATAAATTTTTAGATACTTCAATATTAATATAAATTTATGCATAATCAAGAAAATAAAATATTAAATCATAAATCTAATACAACATTTTACATTCTATATTTTTGAGGAGCGCAGCACTGCGCCAGGGTGGAGCTTTTTATTTTTTATGCACGTTTAATGTTTTTTTTTTTTTCTCTCTCTTTTTTTCTTTTTTTATGGCCTAGCATGCAAGTTTACTTGAGAGTTGAGAGAGAAAGGAAAATCATGGAGAAAAGAAATTGTTTAATCAAACTAACACGAAACAATCACAATCTCAAGATAGAATTACTTGCGCCCAGAAACTTAATTAAATTACTTTATTAGATAAAACATTCTATTAACTTACAATTACGTGGTCATAGCCACTAACAATTTATACTAAGCATAACTCCTTTTTATAACCATGCGACAATTAGCAACTGCCTCACTTGGAGCATACTATGGACAAAACACTCAGCGGGATTTGAGAAGTCTGGGCATACTTGAAGGAGACAACAGCACCAGCAGCCAATGGTTGTCCATTGTTAACAAGGCAATCGCCAATCTTGATACGCTTGAATGTGTTAGGATTAACCAGAATGTCAGAACTGAACTGGCCGCAAGCAATATGAATATTGGAAATTTCACATCCACTGGGGCAATTGTTCGAAATCTCCACTGCGAAAAGTGGAATTCCACTGGGTTCGGTGCCTTCCTGACTCTGTCGTACTTCGATATAGCTATTGGGACAATATATGGCACCTAATGGCTTTACCACTGCAAAACATAAAAAATAAGTAAATAAATAATGATCAAAATGCTACTATGACAAAGCAAAGATGCAAAAAGACAGTAACGATGAACAAATAAATTAAAGCAGAAGAGAGAAACAAAGAGAGATTGGCCAAACCTCTGGAAACAGTCGGAGAAAACAACTCGAAGAAAACTAGGACTGCCATCAGTGACAACACGTTAATACAAGGCATAGTTCTCATGATTTAGTCCTGTGTAAAAACTACTCTGTTGAAAAACAAAAAAAAAGAATAATTTGAAGAAATGTTTATTGTTTTTTTGAATCATACTGTATGTACAATAACCTATATATAAGTGTTTACAAAGAGAATATTCTAAAGTATAAAGTATACAAAGAGAATATTCTAAAATATAAAATATTTACAATAATTCTAAATATAATTGTGTTTACATCTTAACATCCCCCTCAAACTCAAGGTGATTGTGATGAAACCAACTTTATTTTGGAAAAAAGAGTACGAAAGCGTCAAGGAAAATGAGCCTTGGTAAAGAGATCTGCTGATTGACCAGGGGAGCCAATGAAAACCAAATGAACAGTTCCTTGTGCAACATGATGGCGAATAAAGTGACAATCAACCTAATGTGTTTAGTGCGTTCATGAAATACGTCATTTTGAGCAATTTGCATAGCACTTTGATTATCACAATATAAATCAGTAGAAGAAGGTTGAGGAATGCCCATATCTTCAAGAAGCCACTGCAATGAAAGCAGTTCTGATATGGTATCCTCGAGAGCTCTATACTCAGCTTCAATACTAGAGCGAGATAGAATAGTTTGTTTCTTACTCTGCCAAGAGATAAGAGAATTACCAAGGAAAAAACAGTAACTAGTGGTAGATCTACGATAAGAAGGATCACCAGCCCAATCAGCATTAGAGTAAGCGCAAAGCACAGGGGAAGAGTTCGCAAAAAAATGGAGTCCATGAAATAATGTTCCCTTAACATAACGAATAATGTGAAGTATTGCTGCATAATGAGCAGAGCAAGGAGCAGCTATAAACTAACTAACAATGTGAACTGCATATGTTATATCAGGGCATGTCGTAGTAAGATAAACTAGACTACCAACCAATTACCGATAGCAAGTAGGATCAGAAAGTGGAGAGCCATCCATAGGTGTGAGCTTGACATTAGGTTCAAGAGCTGTGGAAACACTCTTACCATCATTGAGTTTAGCTTTAGAAACAAGATCGGAGGCATACTTTACTTGAGAAAGCAGGTAGCCATCATTTGAAGAGGTCACTTCAAGCCCCAAAAAATAGCTCAGAACACCAAGATCTTTCATCTCAGATTTCTAACTGAGAGATTGTTTTAACTCCTCAACACTTGCAACATCATTTCCAGTAATAATCATGTCATCAACATAAAGAAGTAAAAGAACCATACCCCGAGCAGTCTTACGAATGAACAAAGCCATTTCATGTGGACTGGAAGTAAAACCAAACTCACTCACAATAGCACTAAACTTTGCATACCAGGCTCAAGGGGATTGCTTTAGCCCATATAATGCATGGCGCAATCGGCATACCTTATTTGGAGGATGGTTGAGCCTAGGAGGTGGTTTCATATAAACTTCTTCTTCTAGGTCACCATTAAGAAAAGCAATTTTCACATCCATCTGAAACAATTGCCATCTCCAAATAGCAGCGATAGCAAGCAAACTGTGCGCAGATGTAAGACGAGCAACTGGAGCAAATGTCTCCTCATAGTCAATTTCATACTCATGTGTAAAACCTTTGGCAACCAAGCGTGCCTTATAACACTCCACAGAACCATCAGATCGTTTTTTGATCTTGTACACCTATTTACAGCTTATTAGAGATTTTTTAGCAGGGAGATCAACTAAATCCCATGTATGAGTGTTCTCAAGAGCTTGTAATTCATCTTGCACAGCTTGTTGCCAAAGAGGGTTAAAAGAGGCCTCTTGATAGGATTGAGGCTCATGTAACGAAGTAATAGTAGAAAAATAATGATAATCACGAAGGTAGTTGGGAAGGTTTTTTACTTGGGAAGGTTTCTTACTTGAGTAGGATGACTCGAGGATGGGACAACAAGCTCATTTGTAGAATCAACAGGTGATACAGACGAGGAAGTAGAAGAAGGCTCAAAATTATCTAATACATTACCAACAGGCAGATCATCTTCTACAGAACTAGTTGGAGTATGTGGTGAGGCATTGTAGAGCTCATCAGATGTATTTGCATTAAAATCACTAGGAAATAGCTCAATAAAAGGATTAGTACAAAATGGAGGTTGATGAGACAATGACAGTTTGAAGTTTGACAATGATGAGAACATAGTGTGTTTCCAAAAGACAACATGATGTGAAACTCAAAGTTTTTGTGACACAGGATCCCAACAACGATATCCTTTTTGTGTAATCCCATAACCCAAAAAACAACATAATTGAGCTCTAGGTTCTAACTTGTTATGTTCATGAGGTGGAAGAAAAACAAAACATGCACAACCAAAAACCTTAAAAAGATTATAAGCAGGAAGAATACCATGTAGATGCTCATATGGAGATTGGTTATTAAGGACTGATGATGCAATGCGATTAATAAGATAAATAGTTGTAAGAGCGGCTTCACCCCAAAATTGCTCTGGACAAGAAGATGAAATGAGCAGAGCACGAACAAAATCAAGGATGTGTTTGTGTTTGCGTTCGGCTCGCCATTTTGTTCAAAAGTATAAGGACAAGATTATTGTGGCAGTGTACCCTGTTCTTTCAAAAAGAATTGAAGTTTAGTACCAAGATATTCAATAGCATTATCAGTTCTCAAAACTTTGATAATTTTAGAAAACTCAGTTTTGACCATGGTAGCAAAATCAATATAAATTTGTGATAACTCAGAGCGACTTTTCATAAGGTATATCCAGGTAAAACAAGTATTATCATCAATAAATAACACGAAGTACTTGGAACCCCCTATGCTGGGTGTAGGAGATGGACCCCAAACATCAGAATGCACGAGATCAAAAGGAGCAATAGAATGAGAATGACTACTTGAAAAAGATCAAGCTGGTTGCTTTGCAGATTGACATGACACACAATGCATAGATTCATTCAGAACTGATCCTAATAAACCACGAGAGATAGGTGGACAAATTTTACCGACTGAGGTATGTCCGAGTTGTGAGTGCCATAAAGGGAAAGGAGAAATGTCAGTAGCAACACAGGCTTGGAAGATTTGTTGATATGGAATTTGCAAAGACTCTAATTCAATAGCACAAAGTAGGGTTTGGATGAATCGATCATTTGGAAATGATGGTGTATCCATTTTATTATCAGGAATATGCAGATAGTTGAGCTCAAACAAACGCCCTACCTTGCGACCAGTTCCAAGAAGTTATCCTGTCCGTGAGTCCTGCACACGAAAACCATGAGCAGAAAATGTTACTTCAAGACCAAGATCACATAATTGACCGACAGATAGAAGATTATAACTAAGTTTCGGAACTAAAAGGGCATTTGATAAAGTCAATGACTTTGTAGAAACATTGCCAATGTGACGAACATTCATAGGGAAACCATCAGTAGAATAAATATCAAGAAAGGAATTATTAAGTGACATTGAAGAGAAATGAGCAGTGATTGAAGACATATGGTTACAACAACCAGAATTGAAATACCAAGGTTTGGTACCTGGAGCAGTAGATAAGGCAATAAGAGCATTAAAAAGATTTAATATCATCTGTTTTAAGGATTCAAGGTTGACATTAGGTTGTTCTATCACTTCTTTGGCAACCATAGCAGTAGCAGGATGAGTTACAATCCTTTCAAAACTCCTCATAGAATTAGTAAACTCACAATACTGAAAAACTCTAAAAATATGAAGAGATAGATGCCAAGATCAAAATAACAAACCAACAAAATACCTCAAAAAGGGCCTGAGAATCGAGGATAAATAATCCAAACTGTAGGAGAAGAGATCCCAACAACAAAGTTTCAGATCTGAAATAGAATTGAAAATCCAACTCCAAAAAAAAAAAAAACCAACAGCGATGATAAGAGAAAAGAACTAGGAGCTTATAGCTTTGATACCATGTTGGAAAACAGAAAAGATGACTAATTTGAAGAAAGGTTTATTGCTTTCTTAAATCATACTGTATGTACAATGGCCTATATATAGGTGTTTACAAAGAGAATATTCTAAAGTATAAAATATTTACAATAATTCTAAATATAATTGTGTTCACATCTTAACATACTCAAAGGAGAATATGCAGCCACTAGAATATTTTCTTGTACTTGTGAATTACAAACTAAGGGTTACTTCTATTTATATATACAAGTATGCTTATGAAGTCCTAACACTTGTTGAATAAGATATTCACCTAATTAATTCATTCCCTAATCATCCTCCATTTATTTGAAACTAACATATTATGAGAAAAATGACTCTTTCTCTCGTTGACGGCTGCTAGGGTTCCTCTATCCCTTATTCTGTGTGAGCCTCTCACTTAAGCATTCTCCTCCCTATCAAAAGGCCTCTTCCTTCTTCTCCTTTTCATGTTTTTGATTCCTTACCGATGTTATAGCTTTAGCTAATATTTTGGCTTGGAATTGCAGAGGGTAAGGCCACTCACTAACAATCTCTAAACTAAAAAAACTCCTCCAATCTCACACACCACAAATTATGTTCCTCTCACAAACAAAATGAACTGTGACAGAGATGGACTAAATCCGATTGGAATTAGGTTTCTCCAATTGTTTTTCTGTGGGCAGTAATGGACGTAGTGGGGGATTGGTAGTGTTATGGAATGCGAAAGTGCAGATCCAACTTCTCTTGTACTCTCAATCTCATATAGATATGGAAATCCAAGATTTGGCAGACGTCTGCTAGCCCTTGATTAGGTTTTACAGGCAACCAGATATTAGTTGGCTTCATGAATACTAGGCGCTTCTCAAATCGCTAAAATCATCTTCTTCTTTACCAGGGGTTTGTGTTGGTGATTTTAATGAAATAGTGAAGTAAGTAGAAAAGATGGGTGGGAAATCTAGATATGAACGCCAAATAGTATACTTTTGTGAAGCCATAGAATATTGTGGTTTTTCTAAGTTAGGCTTTAAAGGATCTTGCTTCTCTTTTGTACGAAAGCAACATGGTAGTTTATTGAGAGAAAGACTTGACAGAGTACTCATGACTCGTGAATGGGCTAAACAATTTCCAAGCTCTATCTCCCATCACCTTCCTACCATTCGATTAGATCATGCGGCTATTTTGTTGAGAACACAACATAGCTTGCCGTAGATTGGTATGAAAAGAATGAGGCAATTTTAGTTTGAGAACTACTGGCTTCGGGATAACAAGTATGAGACCATTGTTAAAGAAGCATGGAATCAAGAAATGGGTACTTTAGCAATGGACAGTGTACTCAACAAAATGAACCGTTGCAGAGTTCTATTGCAGGATTGGAATGCTCATAAACATGGGAATATACCTGAGCGAATTAAAAAGTTGTAGTTTAATCTACAGTAGGTGCATGATGGTACTACCAGTGATTGTAGCTTAGAGTATTTAGAAGCATTGGAGAAGGAATTATGGGATCTACAAAAATAAGAAGAGGTTTATTGGAAACAGAGATCTAGAGTTCAATGGCTTAAAGAAGGGGACAAAAACACATCTTTCTTTCACACAAGAGCTTCTAAGAGGAAGAAAAAGAATTTTATTTTAGAATTGCAATTAGTAGATGGGCAATTAGTACGAGATCAGAGTGGCATGGAATAGGTTGCGTTAACCTATTTCCAAGGTCTCTTTACCTCGGAAGCTAAAGCAGATCCCTCCCATATATTGAGGAAGATTCGACATAAGGTTTCTTAAGCCGAGGCTATGGCAATGGATAGGCAATACACAGTAGAGGAGGTCCTCTTTAGTTTAAAACAAATTCACTCTTCAAAGGCCCCTAGTCCTGATAGGATAAATGCCGGCTTTTTTAAGCACTATTGGCCAATGATTAGGAATAACATCACAAAGGCAGTATTAGAATTCTTGAATGAGGGGACTATGCTAAAGGAGTGAATAGGACCCATATTGTCTTAATTTCGAAGACAAAAAATCTAACTGCCATGAAGGACTTTTGGCTAATTAGCCTTTGCAATGTGATTTACAAACTCATTTCAAAGATGTTGACCAATCATCTAAAACCTCTATTCCCGAATATCATCTCGAAGAATCAAAGTGCGTTTGTCCTTGAGCGACTTATACATGACAATGTGATGGTCAACTTTGAGATAGTTCATCATCTGAAAAACAAGCGCTAAGGCACCAAGGGAAACATGACCATCAAGCTAGACTTGAGTAAAGATTTTGACAAGGTAGAATGGGATTTTTTACAAGGGGTGATGCAAGTTATAGGACTCCTTTTGACCTAGGTTGAACGAGTAATGACTTGTGTTCCTATTGTGGAATACTCTATTGTGGTTAATGGCTCAATAACACGAGAGTTTACCCCATTATGAGGAATTCAGTAGGGAGATCTTTTATCTCCTTTTCTTTATCTTTTTTGTGTTGAAGGGCTCTCTTCATTGCTGACGAAAGGGTTGCAAAGTGGAAGCCTAAGAGGGGTTGCAGTTTGTTAGAGGGCTCCAAAATTCCCTCGTTTGTTTTTTGTTGACGATAGCTTGCATTTTGGAACAGCTACTGAGAGGGAAGCTACTCATCTTGTAAATACTCTATAGCAATATGGCGTAGTTTCAAGACAACAAATCAACCTGAATAAATCATCTATTTTTTTCAGCTATAACACTCCCAATAGTGTGAAAACAAGGGTCATAGAGATCCGAAACATCTCACAAGTTTTGGTTGAAGATAAATATCTGGGTATGCCTCTCTTAATAGGCCAAAGCAAAAGCATTTGTTTTACTTCTATTTGAGATCGTATCTGGTCAAAGATAAAGAGATGGAAGAACAAATTGTTATCTAAGGCAGGAAAAGCAATGTTGCTAAAAGCTGTTGTGCAGGTTATTCCCACTTATTGTATGGGGTGTTTTCATTTATCGCAAACCTTTCTGCAATCTCTAAATAGCATCATTAGTAACTTTTGGTGGGGTGACAACTCTGATAAGTGAAAAAATTCACTAGTTAAGATGAGACTTATTATGTCGTCCGAAGAGCTTAGGTGGATTAGGATTTTGAGATTTCCAGGCCTTTAATCTTGTTGTGCTTGCGAAACAAAGCTGGCGTCTCATG